TAAAAATTAAAAATTATTTTATCAGTACAAACTTTTAAACTTTTTAACATGTGGCCTCAAAATAAGATTTATATAAGAATATGAATTTAATTAATATAAATAGTTTTTTTTTCTGTCAATCACTCATCATCATTAAACTATTAAAAATATAATATTCCTTTTGACCCGATTTATAAAAAAAGAATTAATATATTTAAATAATATATAGACCAATTAAACTCTAAAAATATCTAACGATAAATTTTAAAAATATAATATACTAAGAGTTATTAAATAATGTAAGTATGTTTATTAGATTACCACATGCATGATGAAATAAAATTAAAATAATGATCATATATGTTGCATTTTTCACTTTAGTTCGTTATAGTGTGTAGAAACAAATAGACATTCTTTTACAACTTTTTAAATACCACGATCCATCACTTCTTTGAAAAATTTCATTTTTTCTTTCTACAAATTATACCCTTCTTCATTGAAGAATGGGTAGATGAAAGGGTATAGTGTATAAGTTTTTGGTTTTAAAATGCATGATGATGTTTGTTTATGCATGCGTTTTTATTGTTTTGTTCTTAAGGAATCGTTCGAATTTATTAGTTGTTAGTCATTCAAAAGCATAAGAGGTATAAAGAAAAACAACATTGGAGCAAACTCATTTATTAATTCATCGTATTGCCAAGTACAAACGATGATTGTAAAATAAAGGAATGCAAAATCATCTCAGGCCTTCCTCAACTCTTCAGACCTTCTTCAATTGAGCCAGTTGTGATATTTAAAGTTCATGATTAATTTTATATTTTTCTCGATTAAGATCGTATTAGTAATTTTGGTCATACAGTGGAAATAAAGTAAAGTAAATTGCAGAAATTAAAAGGATAAGATTAGAAAGAATGCACTAGAGATTTATACAGGTTTATCAGAATGTTGGCCTAGTCTTATCCCCAAGAGGTCTTCTTGAGAGTTTGACTATAAACTTTGAGCTTTTGAAGGTTATGCCCATGAACCTTAATACAATCTAATCTTGAGATTTTTACAAGTTTATCTCCAACTAATGACAACTTTTATCCCAGGTTAAGCTAACGAACTGTTTAGAGATTTATGGTTTATCTCAATAACCAAAACAAAACTTTTTCCGTAAAGCTTAAGAAACCAACCACATAGATTTTATGACAAGTTTATCTTATGTACCAAACTCGATATCTTAAGAGTACCATACTCTTATGAATATAAATGACCAATACGACAACTTACAAAAAAATTATTTTCTAGAGAGAGAGAGAGAGAGAAATAAATTAGAAATATAAATTCCAAAGAAATGGTAAAACCTTGGAAAGTGGTGTGTTAGGAAGAGGAGTCGTGCCTCATTTATATAGTAGTTTGAAAAACTATAAATGGTAATAATTCATGGGCCGAATTAATGAATCAATCAAATGATACAAAGCTCCAATCCATTGTCCATCTCATTTACAATCAATTAAAATGATCAATAATTAACATTTCTTAACAAAAATCCATACTTTAATAATTCTTGAGAAAGACTTATGTGTAATCTTCCTTTCACAAACACATCTTCTACTTGTTTCAACATTGTGAAAAAACTTCCTAGAACATTGTTCTTGCGAGATCTAGATTGTGTTGTGAGAGATTCTTTATATAACCATAATCATCTTCAATAATGAACAAAGAAACCATTGTTGTGGTGTTAAACTCTAAAGCTAATATTTTTTAGTTGAAGTTTTGTTGTATGTATCAGGATAAGTAATTGTTTTGTGTCTATGGTATATGGAGATTAACTTCCATCAAAGATAAATAGTGTTTTCTACACTCTATTGAATATTTCATTAAAACAATGTAAATGTATCTACAAAACAAAGTTAGGAGTTTCCGATCATTCTTGGGTAGAACAAAGGATCAAACAAGGAATCAATATGATTGTGTAAAGGTCGTTGTGGAATAGAAGTTTGGAGCATGGATATTTGGAGCTAGCAATATTTTTGGATTAAGATCAAGTGAAAATCTTGAAAGGTTGACAACTTCACTGTTTTGCTATAACATAAGGGAAAATTAATTTAGACATGTGTTTGGCTAAAGTAATTTGTTGGTTTATAGTGTTCAACGTTGTTGATTATCAGTTGTATCAAAAATACAATTGCATTAACTTTTTAAAATAATGCAAGACCCTATAAATTTTCAATGGTTAAACCATTAAATAGTGTATTAAGCTCTAATAAGGACGAATGAGTTGAACCACTATAAATCTTGTGTACATCTCTCTAACCTTATATTTTTTCTTAGATATTGTATGCTTAGCCTTTATTGATTTTCTATAAATTGCACGCGGTTAGGATTTTCTGCTTTCATAGGGATTTCTTGTGCATAAAAATATGTTTGTGTTATATTAAGTCTCTAAACGATCTCATGTGATTACACCTGAAAATTGTGATTGTAAAATTCTTATCAATTAAATAAGTTTGAATTATATTTCTCGTGTACACTTGAAATTAGATTAATTACTTCTTAACTGTTTATTAATTTTATCGTTATCACATTATATATTTTTTAATATCGTGTCGTTATCAAAAATCATTCCTATTGCATCCATTGTATTTTCTCTGTTTCTAAACATTTTATTAAACTCCAATTTTTGAAAAGAAAATATTTTTTTAAAAAACTGGTCTTTTTGGGAATGATTTATTTAACCCCCATTTTCTAGACCATTCAACTATCATATTCTCCCCCAACAATGAAAACACCTTACGTCAAAAGATATTATGTGAAGTCTTCATCTATCAATAAGGAGAAATGATCAAAATGATCTATTAAGATCAAGATGTTCCTTGTGAGATCAAGATGTCAAGCGAAATGCAATGATGAAAACACCTAAGGTCAAATGACATTTAGTGAAGTCTTTGAGGGTCTCCTGTCCAATATTTTTTGATGATGGCGTCTATCAAATAAGCTATATAAAGCGTCATCAGTTAGAAGAGTCAAGTTTCAGATGAAACACCAAATCAATGATGAATCCAGCAATGAGACTTGAAACTTCAAGGTTGTGAAAGAGAGAAAGTGTGAAAGCTCGCATGGTCCTGTGTCTGAGTGATCAATTAAATATAAAGGTATAAGAGTAACTCTCAAATTACTAAGGAAACTCACACATACTCACACACGCACACACATACAACATACACACACACGAGAATGTTTTTAATCCTTTATCAATTTACTAAAACATCTTAAAGAAATAAGATGTGACACACAAGATTGAATCAATGCGTGATACAAAATGATATGAATTAAAAGATACGCAATTAAAGAATAATAATTAAAAATAAAAAGAATCGTTAACCCAAATATGTGCATTTGTCACCTACGTTTGAAGGGTAGTAGTCTAATGAAAAAGAAATTCACGAATAATAAGTAATCAATAACACATGACAATCTTAACTTTAATCACCCAATTCAAAGCTCTTTTTCTAATACTATATGTGAATTTCAACTTAGACTCCCCTTGAATTTGAGATCTTCTCACTTACACTAAAACACTTTCCCAAGTGTTTATAAGTATCAATAATATGAACAACGACAAAGTTCATGTATACAAACCAAAACTTAATCTCTCCTAAGTAATGATTAATAATAATGACATCGTTTAACATAAGCAAAACACATTAAAAGACTTGACGTTCAACCTCTCAGAACGTCTATATCTTTTCCATCTCTACACCAGAGGATACGATCTCTTTATATAGAAGAACTAAGACGTAGAAGGCTCATCAGAGTTTCCAAAACAAATACACATCATATCTAATAAAATCACACATAATCTGGAACAAAAGAAACTACGATCCAACTATGATTTACTCCCAAAAGATAACGCATAATCTAGAAGCAAATAAAATCTTTCTGTAAATAACACACCAGATATAAGAAGCCAAGATGTCTCAACAAATTTTATAACATCTTCCTTAACATTTTGCCAATAAAAATAAGGCAATTCATATGTGATAAGAAAAATCAATTTTCTTTTTATACGTGGACAACGTATTACTCATAAAAAATGAGATCCATATTTAAAACAAAACAAGTTTTAACTTGGTTAGGGAATCATTTACTAATGAAATTTTAGGACAAAACTACCCTATGTATTAGTAGTAAGAATCTATAAAGATATATCCAAAAGTTGTTTGATCTAATTATAATACAACAAAATAATGAGACATTTTAATATGCACGATTCCAAAAAAGAATTGGCAACCAAAAACACAATTCTCTTTGACGAAAGAAGAAAAGGATCAGACGAATAATATTTCATATACGTCTGTAACAAAATGACGAGATATATCACTGATGTTTTGAACATAACGAACAAGTACCAATTTAATTCTAAAATAAAATATTTCACACTAAAAACCACTCTAAATAAAATCTAAAATAATATAAACAATGAGAATGTTATTTTAAAAATTGTACACTTAATTCTTTAAAAGTTAAAAATTATTTCATTAGTACAAACTTGTTTTAACACGTGGCCTCAAAATAAGATCTTATATAAAAATATAAATTTAATTAATAGAAAGGGCTTTATTTTTTTTGTCAATCACTCATCATTATTAAATTATTAAAAATATTTCACTCTTATAATATTCCTTTTGACCCTAATATAAAAAAGAATTTATATATCTAAATAATATATAGACCAATTAAACTCTAAAAATATCTAACAATAAATTTTAAAATTTTAATATACTAAAAGTTATTAAGTAATGTAAAGTATGTTGATTAGATTAGCACATCCATGATGAAATAAAATTAAAATAATGATCATATAAGTTGCATTTTTCACTTTAATTCGTTCTTGTCCAGTATAAAACGAACCAGACACAAACCTCGATAATATTAATTTACGTGACTCAATCATTCTATTCTCTAGTGTTTTCTCTTTCTCGTCTTCGCCGAACAGATTACCGACCCAGAACCCTTCTCTTTCAATCCAATCAATCATGGTCGAAACCAGACGTGGTTCTTCTTCTTCCAAACGCTCTCTCTCTTCTCCTTCCCCTTCCAACGCCAAACGATCCAAGGTATCATCAATCTCTTCCTTTTCGAATTCATATAGGTTATTGAATTTCGGTTTTCGGTTACCAAATTCGATCAATTTTTTGTGTTTTTGTGATTGCAGGTTTCGGAGGATGCTTCGTCTAACCCTTTGCCCTCTGTTCCCGTCAAGGAATCTGTAACTGGTAACGAATCTGGTGAACCTGAGATACAGCGCTCTGATCTATCGGAAACGGCGTCGTTGAAGGTTGTTGATGGGGATAACAATAAGCCTCCTTCTGTGCCAATTGAAACTGATCCTTTGGTGTCCTCTCAGTGTCCAGGTCTTAAAGACGCTATCTTTTTCGATTTTTTTTTTTTTCTTTTATGGGTTGTTTTGTTGCCTCTATCTATGCATGCATATGCTGTTTTTGAAATTTTGAGATTTATGGATTTCTCTTTTGTTGTAATCTCAGGTGAAACTGGAGAGAAAGCTAAGGCGGTGCAGCCGCTGGTTTCTTGTCGGAAGAAACGTACCGTGGCGAAACCGATTCATAAGGCTGCTGCGTGGGGGAAGCTTATATCTCAATGTTCTCAGGTTTAGTTCTCTACTTTTAGTGGTTTGTGTTTGTTTTCGAGTAGTATATGGTTTCACATTTGTGGTAGAGAGAATTCATAGTCCAATTTGATCCTTAGATTTTGATAAAAGATGGGTTTGATGGATGTATGTAATATGTTGAAATTTTAGTTAACCATTTTACCCGGTCTACTTTTTACAATCATTCATACACGTGACTTTGAAATTCGGTATGATAAAAGTTGAACAATTTTTATAATACGATGGTCGAGAGTGATTGATTGGCATTGTAAAACCCTATGCACTGATAGTGTATACAAATTATATCCTATATGCATCTACATAATGTTAGCCTGAAATACACTTCACTGCACTGTCTGACATCCCTCTTTGCGGGAACTGATATACATAAATAAGTAATGTAGCAGTAAGTATTGATCTTCTTCTATTATGGAGTTAAGTTTTGTAACTTGGACAAATTTGAATTTCTTATTGTGCATTTTCAACTAGAGAAGATATTGCTTTATGCTATATCACATAAAAGTAGTAATTACTATCATATTATAGGGTGCATCGTGGACTATGTTGCAGTCCAAAGGAGATTTGTTTTTGCTTGGTGAAATCAAATATTATGTTAGATATTTTTTTTTTTTGGAAAAAAGTTGATAGTAGATATGAATAGTGTTCAGTTCACATATCCAGATATCCTTCCTAGAGTTTCATGCGAGCTGATTTATGCTTCTGTATTATTAACTCTTGCATTTCTGATTGTAATGATGTAGGTTTGAAATTAATCTTTTTGTTATTCATGCTTATCCAGACTCCTCACTTGTCCATTAGTGATCCAATCTTCACAGTTGGTCAAGGCCGTCAGAGTAATTTGACGCTCAAGGATCCTACCATCGGTAATGTTTTGTGCAAGTTGAGCCACATAGAGGTACAAAATCCACTTTTATCTTTGAAACTTAAAACAATAAGGAACCATCTGCTTTACAGTTTTATAATGAATCAAGACACACAAGTCATTTCCTAAACAACAAATAAATATGTTTTTAGATGTTTAGTGAAATTATGATAGAAAATACCAAACATTTGTTCTGGTATGGTAGGTGACAAACTGTAATAAGTTATTAAGCTTCTCCAATTTTTAGCATAACTGACCACAGTTGTCATTTGAACTATGTGGAGCAGCAACATGGAGGTTCATCAGTTGCCCTACTGGAAATCACAGGGGGTAAAGGTGTTGTTCAAGTCAATGGCAAGACTTACCGAAGGAATGCCCGGCTGATTTTGAATGGAGGCGATGAGGTGATATTTGGTGCTTCGGGAAAACATGCTTATGTATCCTTTACACAAGAATTTATAATTTCTCTCTTTTAGCTCTTTCTTCCTCCTTTGTTTGCACGCATCTGTCATCTGTTTTAAAAAGAAACCGCCTAGTCATGTGTTTGATGTATTTACAGTATGCATTGTTGTATCTTTTCATTCTTAAATTTCTTTTATTGATATTTTATGGGTTCCTTAGCATGGAATTCAGATCTTTCAACAGCTAAAAAGTAATAATGTTTCTACTGCTGGTATACCTCCCGTGGGTATTTTAGAAGCCCATGGTGCTTCAATGAATGGGATGCAAGTTGAAGCTAGATCTGGAGACCCTTCGGATGTTGCAGGAGCATCAATATTGGCCTCTCTATCTAATATTCCCAAGGATTTATCTCTCGTTTCACCTCCAGCTAAAACATGCAAGAAACAAAATTCTGATATTTCATCACTGCCCTCTGGCAATGGGGATAATGTTCCGGACAATGAAAGGAAAGATGCCACCAATAATGATGAATCGACTGGAGTTATTTCTTCTGGCAAAGCTGTTCTTGCATCCTCTACCAATGTTAATGAAAATCCTAACCTTGACGCCATGGATGTTGATGCCAATGCGGATACAAATGTTGGGAAGATGCCTGCTACTAATTACGAATTGAGGCCGTTATTAAGCATGCTTGCCGGCGGCTCAGGAACTGAATTTGATTTAAGTGGCAGCATTCACAAGATATTAGAAGATCGAAAGGAATTAGGAGAACTCCTTAAAGGTGCTGATACAACAACATTATTAGCATCTACCAGGAGACAAGCATTTAAGGACAGCCTAGAACAGAGAATTCTCAATGCTGAGGATATTGATGTCTCTTTTGAGGCATTCCCATATTATTTAAGGTACAAAAATTGCTTCTTGTAATTGACTTATCTTTTATTCAATTTCCTAATACTACCCCGTGCTATTTATAAGAAACAATTAGGTTATTCTTTTAATCCTAAGTGGTACTAAAAAAAATTAAAGTTTCTTGTATGCACCTATTTTGTTGTGAGCTTTTATTTTACTAGATATCCATCTTCCCCATGCAAGTAGGTTTCATATAATGAGGATTATGGCTATTTTTGAAAAAAAAAGGTTAGGATTAACTCCTTGGGATTTGCTTCCATGGTCTCTGTAATTCTATCTTTTTCCTCATAATTAGAACTGGAGGGAGTATATGCTACCTTAACTTTGAGCACCTCTAGCACAGTCAAAGTTATCTGCACTCTACTTAGTTACAGCTACCTTTGTATTCCTTGTTGCTCTATTGCTGAGTTTAATGGCATGTAGTTAGTGAGTACTAGTTACTGCTTTAGAATAGATAACAAATAACTTATGGCTACTTGCCTGTGATGTATTGCATGATTACAGTGATACAACAAAGAATGTGTTGATTGCTTCTACATATATTCATTTGAAGTGCAATGGCTTTGGAAAATATGCTTCAGATCTCCCGTCGGTGTCCCCACGGATATTGTTATCTGGTCCTTCAGGTTATTAGATTGCTCCCGTGTATGCTTCTATTTCTCCCTTCTATAACATATATGTGATGAAGCTCCATATGATTCTTGTGTAGGTTCTGAAATATATCAGGAAACTTTGTCCAAGGCACTTGCTAAGCATTTTGGTGCCAGACTACTGATTGTGGATTCACTTTCGCTGCCCGGTGTATGTTTCTAAGATAAACTTCATTTAATAGAAGTTTTGTAAAATAGTATTTTTCTAGTTTTAAGATTTTTATGACTCTTTTTTGCCTCATATCTTTTTGGTGTCACATGCTCGCTGATGTTGACATGGTTTCTTTCAAAATCATTATTACTATCCACCCAAAATTGTTGTTAATGTGGGTAATTTGTTTTCAGGGAACACCATCGAAGGAAGCTGATTCTGCCAAAGAAAGTTCAAAGCCTGAAAGGCCATCTGTTTTGTCTAAGAGAAGTAGCCAGGCTCCTACATTACATCATAGGAAACCCACTTCTAGTGTTGATGCTGAAATTATCGGTGGATCTACATTAAGTTCGCAGGCTATGCTGAAGCAAGAGGTTTCTACTGCATCATCAAAAGGCATTGCTCTTAAAAAAGGTATGTTGTTGTGTCCTAATAGATCGGCAGCTATATGTGAACTTACTTCTTATCTTGTTCTAATATTAATGCCGAATGACATTTTGAAGGCTTTAATTATAGGATATTTATGTAATTTACAGGTGATCGAGTAAAATTTGTTGGTAACTTTCCACCCACTGTCTCATCACTGCAAAATTATTCTTCAAGGTAATTTGTGGCATTGAAGAATTATACTTTACAATATTTTTATGGTTTATAATTAGTAAAGGCTGATATGATGGTGCGTGAAAGTTCTTCAATTATGGCTTAAAAAGTATTCTGAATCTTTTATAAAGAATAATGAATTTTAGTGGCTGAATCTTTATCATCTTTTCGAGGCTTTTTTTTGGTGTTATTCCTTCGGTTCCCTGGGAAAGGGAAAGGGAAAGGGGCTCTGGTAATCCAGAGTTTGGCCGGTAAGGAAAGTTTGACGCTAAATTGTTCAACACCGGAGGTTGGGTTTGTTTGGTCTGTGCAGACGTTTCTCTTTTCACTTTTAATTAAAAAAACTACCACACTATTTGTACAAGAAAGAGTTTTAGCACGAAGCAAAAGAATATGGCGGTAAGTTTTTTAATATAATAGTTAAAACAACATAAAAACTGGAAACTTCTTTTCCATTACAAACAAAGCCCTTAACTCAATCTCTTGATTCTATTAATTAATTGTTGTCTTTCTGTGATTTTTTTTCTTCTTTTCATTTTGATTGAGGCTGAATGCACATAACTCAAACTCTGATTTGCTTTGGGTTAGAATTCCATTTTGATTGAGGCTGTATTTGGTGCATTGCTCATCCCTGTTTCCGTTTGTTATGCAGAGAGACAGACTAGACAACTTGATGTTTTTTATTTACTTTTCATTTTAACATTTTTGAACTTTATTATTTGGTAGATATTTTTTTCAGCCCATCTGTTGTTTTTTCCTTTGTTTTTTCAAATGGAACATTTTATACCATATCCTTTAGTTTAACCTTCTGTTCTGTGAGAACTTACAATTTTACATATTTTTTCAATAGTGGTAGAGGACCAAGCTATGGTTTCAGGGGCAAGGTTGTACTTGCTTTTGAAGACAACGATTCTTCAAAAATTGGGGTCAGGTTTGATAAATCAATTCCAGATGGCAATGACCTTGGGGGCCATATAGAAGATGATCATGGGTTCTTTTGTTCTGGTATTCTATTTTTTTATTGAACTTATGTTTCCTTTGCTGCATATTAGCATATTGTGTGCTATAATTTTGGCATGTTTAATTCATTGATGACTCATACTGCAGCAAGCCACTTACAACGGATAGAGAGTTCAGGAGGGGATGACGACAAAGTTGCAATTAATGAAATCTTTGAGGTTGTCACGGTTTTAAACATGTCCATTTTGAAATCTTTAAGTCTCTACCTGTGAAGCAATATATTTAACATTCTTATCTGCTGTTGTGTACACAGGTTGCCTCTAATCAATGTAAAACTGGTGCACTTGTTTTGTTCATTAAAGATATAGAAAAGGCGATGGTTGGGAACAATGATGTTTTGAAAAGTAAATTTGAAACCCTACCACAAAATATTGTGGTAATTGGCTCAAATACTCAGCTGGACAGTCGTAAGGAGAAGGTACCGTTTATTACTGCATTAAAATGCATGCATTTGGTAGTTGTGATCTCATGATTATATGGAAGATTGTATTTCTGTATCTGATAACTGTCTCTTTATGCTTCCAGAGCCATCCTGGGGGACTTCTGTTTACAAAGTTTGGGAGCAATCAGACAGCTCTACTTGATCTTGCTTTTCCGGTATTATATTTGTAGCCATTTCCACTTCTCTTCACGCCTTCATTTCCGTGTTATTTTTCACTTTCTTATGTTTTTAAGACAGACTTTTGAATATTTGTAAATGCTAAATTTTATTATTATATTCATATTGTAGCTTGATTGTTCTGGATTCCTTCAGGAATTAACTATTAATCTACTTCAATTTGGACTTTTTGTTTAGGATAACTTTAGCAAACTACATGATAGGAGCAAAGAAAGCTCCAAAGTAACGAAGCAACTCAACCGCCTTTTCCCAAACAAAGTGACAATACAGTTGCCTCAGGTATTAGTTATAATGTTAGATTAATTTAATTATGTGATTTACTGTTCTTTATTATAATTCATATAAACTAAACTAGTTATACTTTCTAACTTGTCAGGATGAGGCTTTACTTTCGGATTGGAAGCAGCAGTTAGATCGTGATATTGAAACTATGAAAGCACATTCCAATGTTGTCATGCTTCGATCGGTGAGTCTCCTTTTTTCCTTCTTCACTTCTATTTTTTTTTTTTACGGTATTAAATTCCTTTTTCACTTCTACTATTCAATGCTCCCTCTAAACTTATTATATGTGTTCTCAATTTTTGTGGTTGTTCTTGAATGATATAAGTGTGCCTTTGGATTATGTTGGAATTTCCACCTTAATTGCGTTGGGGCATTTGGCTTGCCCCCAACACCTTCATTGTGTTGGGTTTGAAGTGGTGAATTTAGTCCCACATTGCTTAGAGATATGACATGTGTTGTGTTTATAAGTGGGGGTAATCTACAAGCCTGTTTTGTAGATGAGTTAGGTCCAACCCAAATTCTGAGAGATTATCTAGCATTTCATGCATTTGCTTTGTGAAAATTTCTCCACTGGGCTATCAAGCCTTAATGTCTTTCTACACATTTATTGGAACTTTTTTTTTCTGTTGTTCCATCCTAGCCATCCATATTCGTTGTTTGCTTGGTATGCACTGATATTCATTTTTCTAACAGTTTGTACTTTGTAGAGCTTCGCATGTCGTGTCTCCAGTTCTTGTTTATTCTATATTAAAACTTATTTTTGCCTTGCTATTTGCCAACCTCTTATGAGACATTTCTAATTGTTCAGGTTCTCAAAAGAATCGGATGGGATTGTTCTGACCTTGACACTATTTGCATCAAAGATCAAACCATGACTACAGAAAGTTAGTTTTTTTAAGCAATTATGTCAATGCATAACATATTGAGATTTGTTGCAATAGTAGTGACAATATCTTGTTAACTATTTTTACTAGATGTGGAGAAGATCATTGGCTGGGCTATAAGTTATCATTTTATGCATTCATTTGAAGCTTCTACCAAAGAAGTAAAGCGTGTGATATCTGCAGAAAGGTTTTTCTCATCATTTGTGGATATTTTCATAATGTCAACCCTAAGGGATTGAGCGAAAAATAAAACCAAGTTTTCTAACTTCCCATTTTATTTTTAACACTGTCTTATATTTTATTTGTGCAGCATTAAGTATGGGTTAGACATTCTTCAGGGCGTGCAAAATGAGAACAAGAGTGTAAAAAAGTCACTGAAGGTAATTCATGCAATTTTCACTTTAATTTGTGGAGTGTGCATTTTGCAATACTTTCATTTGGTTACTTTAAACTGTAATTATTTGAATCATGGAATAACATCCGTATTCGTTGAATCGTTACTCTAGGACGTGGTTACTGATAATGAATTTGAGAAAAAGTTGCTTGGTGATGTTATTCCACCAACTGAAATTGGAGTCACATTCGAAGATATTGGAGCTTTAGAAAATGTGAAGGATACCTTGAAGGAATTGGTCATGCTTCCTCTTAAAAGACCTGAACTGTTTTGTAAAGGACAACTAACTAAGGTGGAAATATTTCTTGTTACTTTTAATGACTTGTGAAACACAATATTTAGTAGATGACGTAATCATGCAATGTAGCACTAGCACTTAATGTTAAATTTATTTGAATATAGCCTTGCAAAGGAATATTGCTTTTCGGTCCCCCCGGCACAGGAAAAACAATGCTCGCAAAGGCTGTAGCAACTGAAGCTGGAGCAAATTTCATAAACATTTCAATGTCAAGTATTACTTCCAAGGTATCAGCGTTGCAAATTGAAATTTCTGTATGTTGTCAGTTTCCCTGTATATTTTAGCCTCATGATAAATGTGTTTCTGTTGCAGTGGTTTGGTGAAGGAGAAAAATATGTCAAAGCTGTCTTCTCGCTTGCCAGCAAAATTGCTCCAAGTGTTATATTTGTTGATGAGGTTGGTATAACATGTCATATTTATCTCTTTTTAAGTTTCTTTTTTCTTTGCTTTAAGTATTTTTATTATAATTCCTTTAGATTTTGACCATTTTATTTGAATATGAATGTTCATTTCTGTCCTTGAGTCTACTTTCCACCGTTTAAAGGTTGTTTTGTTGTTATGTAACTCGTGATTATTGACTTGACACGCGACTTATTAGCATGATATGGAAATATGTAATTTTAGGGAGGCTTGATGTTTTAGATGATGTTCACATGACTTGAATTACCCTTACCTGTCTACTTTCTTCATCGTGCCTTTCAAAAGGGTAGTTTGTCATACAAATCTGCAATATACCTTAGTGGAGAAACTGATTGTAACTTCCTGATCTTCAATTCACAACTTTGATTGTTGCCGCTGTTAAATAACAAATGTGCATTGTCAAGGCTTATGATTTTAGAATTTGTTTTCTCAAACACTGATCAATTCAGCTGTTTTCTGCATATTTACAATTTCCTCTTTGTTCCAAATTCATGAGTGGTATTTGGCCTTCCAAATATAGCACTAATTGATTATAAAGGCTAGAACATTTATATACATAACTTTTTTCACTTCTCTTACGAATACTCTCTCAACTATCAAAACAAAATAGATTGTATTTTAGAAGAGGGTGCAGAGTTTTCAAGCCATTTCATTTAGATAGGAAATTATGGATGTCACTTTGGGTAAGCTATTGTTAGTTTGGTGTGAGAGGTTATGCATACCAATCAATTGGTTTGAGAGGTTATGCATACCAATCAAATGGGGGAAAGCAAAGTAGTGGGTATAAGATTACATCAAAGATGTGCAGAAGATATTTCTGCCGTGCAATGTGATGTGCGTGCGCAATAGAAGAAAATTTTGAATTTTTGGTTTAGCATTTTCTGATAGATTGTGGTTAAAAGACCACTTGAGAAATCGCAAAGATGATAAGATAGTGGCAATGGTATCTCCAACAGTTTGTGTAGTTGCTGATACATTGGGTTGACGAGCTGGTGGATTGCAATTTGTAAGATATTAATAGATTTGAGCCGAAGTTCAGAAGTTTTGCAGATTTATTTTATACTTATTATTAAATGAATACCTCGGTGATGTATTGTTGTGATTATTTGCTACAAAGACACTTACTTAAATTAAATGAATTTTCAATTCTGATGCCTAGAAGTCTAGAATATGATTCACGGGCTGAAATGAAGGTGTAAATGTATCCACATATTGTTGTTTTTATGATAGCTACTGGCTAGTGGCTTCTATAGATTTTCGTATTTTCAGTTTTATGTGTTTAATTTATTTGGTGGAATCTGTGGCAGGTTGATAGTATGTTAGGCAGACGTGAAAACCCCGGTGAGCATGAGGCTATGCGTAAAATGAAGAATGAGTTTATGGTTAATTGGGATGGTTTGCGTACAAAAGAAAAAGAGCGTATACTTGTACTTGCTGCAACAAATAGGCCTTTTGATCTTGATGAGGCTGTTATTAGGAGGCTTCCACGGAGGTAAACATATTATATTTGATGGAAACTTCTTTTATTTCATGTTTTGCAAATGAGACCTGTTCTAATTCAGCCTTTTATTAAAAAATATTGTAGATTGATGGTTGATTTGCCGGATGCTCCGAATAGAGGAAAAATTCTGAGTGTCATTTTAGCAAAAGAAGATTTGGCACCCGATGTTGATTTGGAAGCAATAGCAAATATGACTGACGGATACTCTGGAAGTGACCTAAAGGTAGTTGTTCTATATATCTCTGAAGACTTAAATTTGGTTGATTGCTAGAGAAGAGTGAATGTGATTCAATGTAAAATATTTTCACTGTGATTGCAGAATCTGTGTGTCACAGCAGCTCACTGCCCAATTAGGGAGATCTTGGAAAAGGAAAAGAAGGTTGGTTACATGTATATTTGTGTGTGTGTGTGCGCACGCATGTGCATTGATAGAATGTCTCATACAAAATTCGTTCAGTTCAGTGCTAAATAGGTTTTTGTTCATTGTAATATGCCTGCATTACAGTTCAGGCTTGGTTTAAATTTCCTCACATTGAAATGAAATGTCTTTCAGGAAAGAAGCTTAGCATTGTCAGAGAACAAACCTGAACCTGAATTGTGTAGTAGTGCAGACATTCGTCCCTTAAAGATGGAGGATTTCAGATATGCACATGAGCAGGTATATTAATATTTTCCACTTTTTTTCTGCTCTTGAATGTTGTGTTGTGGGTAATAGTTACAGCTTTTGGCCTTGGATTGGGGCACCACTCCTACACTTCAAAAAATTTCATTCCAAAAAAAAAAAAAAATACAGCTTTTAGGGCAAGGCTGTTTATTGTGACAGGTAGGAGTCTCATGCACTGTTTTGCATTTTCATCCCCATTTTAGTGGACATAATGTTATTAAAGGAAGATGGTTGCGAGCCAAAGTTAGACATAGAAATATGACAGACGGTGTTGCAGCCTATGGCTGAAGATACTAGGGTTAATACAATATTTCTATTGAAGAAGATTTGCCACTGATATTGTCTCAACTTTGTCTGAGTTTCAATTTGGGGTTGGTGTTTTGGTCAAAATAATGTATCTTTGTCTTCTGATACAAAACTCAAAACCTAAAACTTTGTCTTCTGATACAAAACTTAAAACTACACCTAGTAAGAATGTAAACCGGAAAGTGTTCTCATATATTTTCCTCCTTTTGTTTAAAACACGATAAGGTTGATAAGGTTGCATACGGGGAAGTCTCTGTGGATTGGATGTACGTGTGAGATGCAAAATCGTAGTTTTGTTGGGGATTTGCCTCATATTTCCCGGAATTAGCTAATTGAACTTTAAACATTATGATGCCTGTGTTACATAGGCGACATATGTAAGCTAATGGAAGCGTAATGTCATGAGTATTGATATGATGTTTTTGTATGCAGGTGTGTGCAAGTGTGTCATCGGAGTCGACAAATATGAATGAACTACAACAATGGAATGATCTTTATGGAGAAGGCGGATCTCGAAAAACGAGATCTTTAAGTTACTTCATGTAAAGGTTTCTGTAGAGCATTTCTTGCTTAGGCTATTATTATTATTATTCTTATCTCAAAATGTGTAACAGGGCCAGCCAGCAGTTGATATGGAAATTCCATATGTGGCTCTTTCTGTATTGTATTATAAGATTTTCCATTATTCTTTCTCCAACCCTCACCTTCTGCTTTACTCCCTCCATATTTTTTCATACTTAGAAGAGTTTGATAATTTCACTGGGGATAAAAGCTTATTTTAGGCCCTCAGATGATCCAATACTTCCCTCCTTGCTTCTGAATGTAAATACCTAGTTTTTTTTACAATAAAAATAAAATTATTTTTGTTTCTGCTTATTTCATGAATCAATTGTATGACATTTTATTTGTGATTTGTACAGCCTCTCCTTCCTTACAAAACATGCGTTTGCATGACTGTTTGTAATATACATGCTTTAACTTTTGTTTGGATGAGATATATGCATGGTATGTGTATTGCCATTATGGAAAATGAGATGCTTTCCTGAGGCGGGAATGTAGAGCTGAGAGATGATTCTGACTCAACTCACAAAAGTGGGGAGTCTATACACATAAAGAGAAAATTAGAGTTTTTTATAGAGAAGATGGTACTTTTTTAGATGATGGTTGAGGATGATAAGTTGGAATGCTTACCTCTTTTCAGGATGATTAGGACATGTTTCTCTTAGAGTTACATTTTATAGGTTTTATCTCATCTCAAATAAAAAAAATAAAAATAAAAAGGCGGAACCTGGTGAGGATGATTATCAATAATTACTATGAAGAGCAATTATTGATGATCTTTTCCTAAGGCACTCTTTTGTCTTTGGATTGATTATGTAGGTTAGAAAAGGAAGGTGTTTACTCTGTTTCTTGTGTATTAAATGTTTTTTGCGGTGCACTCTAATTTTTTTTACCACCTCTAATAGTTTGGATGAGATTTTGACTTCTATTTAGGGTAGTTGAGTCTAGAGGTGTCAAAATAGGTTCAGTGTGTTGGATATGTTTGTTTTGTCTGCACGTTAGTGTAGAGTGAGTCAAAAATTTAGACTTGTATTATTTAGTGTGTTGGATATGTTTGTTTTGTCTGCACGTTAGTGTAGAGTGAGTAAAAAATTTAGACTTGTATTATTTAATGTGTCGGATTCTTCCTCGCTTTTGCGGGCACAAGTATTAATATATTTTTATTTAAAATGTGCGTTGTTTGTGGGTCCGCTCCACCCTACTTTTAGTGTGGGGCAGGCGAAATTGTAACACCTTGTGAAAGCGAAATTGTAACACCTTGAACTCTGAAATTTATAATAAAAGATTTACACAATAATTTAAAGTGTCATCAATGATAATCTTTCAAAAACACATCAAATCATTTGAAATATATAGTAGAAAAATACTTCATAACAATTTCATAATTTAAGTAATAACATCAAAATGACAAATTCAACATCAAGATAAAACATAACAAACTTTCGTTCTCGGTGTAACATGATTAGAGCACTAGAAATCGCTAATATAAGATAAAGTGGTAAAGAAAAGCAAAGAGCTGCTCCAACAAGCCACCTTCCACGCATGACAACAATGATTTCTCTTGAGTATCTGCAAGATGTCTATGGTAGACAACGTGAAGCAAAGAGGATGAGAAACAACATTCAATATAAACAATGTAAAGAATGTTAAAGTTGAGAGTATATAAGAAACACACGTTCATTACACAATCAACAATCGAATAGTCTCATACCCATTCATAACAACATGCGCATATATGTATATGAAATGCGATTCACGACACAACATGACATTTATGCACGTGGTACCATTATGGACAATCTGGGTCCATCTCGCTTCTGAATCCTCATTATAGGACCAGAGTACACCAAATCGTTACTATTATCATAAGTAACGTTTCATCGATTTGCATCAGGAACTAGCTACTTGCTCCTGAATCCCCACCATTAGATCAGAACACGCCAAAACTTGACCAATGCCCATACACCATGATGCATGACTCTCAACAATATGCATTATAACTAAAATTATCACCATGCATTTATCACCATTATGTACAACATCATTCTCAATACACAATAAATCAATGTTACGTCAATAAAAAAATATCAAAAAATAATACCTCATCAAATGCGTATTCACAAGTATTCAATCATGTTAGTTCATTATAATATTAACTCATCATTAAGTAAACATTACGATTTGCTAATTGATCATACATTTCATCACATACATTCATATAGTAGACACACGAATACAACTAAATTATTTCACTAAGCATTATCACGGGGTAGCTTTGAGTGTTAGCTTTTCAACGTTTCAAACAACACCTCATTTGACACTACGAAATTAACGTTACAACCAAAATCGTTGGACAATGCAACAAAAAATATAACACAAAAATTCACAAATTAGCCTACAACAATCGATTATCATAAGATGACAATCGATTCTCATAAGATGACAATCGATTCTCATCAAGTTCTTTTTTATTCTGACTTTACAAAAAAGATAATTTATAAGCAAAATAATCGATTAACTCATTGTGGCAATCGATTGACATAGTATTTTTTTTTCAAATTTTACACTAGTGCAATCGATTGTAGGGTGACAATGGATTGTCACTGATGATTTTTCTATAAAAAACAATTTTCACATATGTAACTTCCATATACGATTCCAACAAAATTTTCCAAAATCAAATAACCCAGATACAAATTTAACATTGAATCGTGTTGTAACAACTCGTATAATATATATCTAAATTAATAGCATACAAGTGTTATTAATTGGTACTTGCACAATCATAAGTGTTTATTGGCATTATTTACATACTTGTCCAATATACAAAACAAAATAAATAACATACGTTACAAGATATGAAAAGTGTCAAAAATAAAAATTTAAGATCTAAGTATAATATTTGTCATTGTACAAGATACACAACGGAAGATCTCAATAAAAGCTTCCCTTGAAATATCAATGTACAACTCTTCATGTATACTAAACCTGCAAACAATACCTAAAAAATAACAAGGGTGAGATAATAATCTCAGTGAGTTCTTCTATCCTATGGGTTCACTCGACTCTACAGAATTCTAATCAAATTCTAACTCAAGTCAAAGGGGAATAAGGGCTTGAGTTCACAAAACTTGCAATGTATGGAAATATTACTCTTGAATTCATTAACTCAAACAATTACTAGTTCAGAAATTGTACCAAAGCATCTTTTCCCGACCAACCATGAGTCTAGGATTCTCGATATGGGTTACGGATCCTTGTATAGTAGATATCTTTACTCGGCCAACACTCTGTCTCGGGATATCATCTCGGGCCACAGATACCTATCTCATACTTTAATATTGATGGATTTCGGATTCTAAGGGTTATATCAACTTTAGGAATTGTCACTTTATATGGGACCCCAAATCCATTTCAAGCCCACTTAAGGATCCATTGCCTCTGGAATTCAAACCAGGTCAACAAGTATGGTCGTGTCCATCCCAATTCTTACTCTATATAAGCATCGCAATTTGGACGACATAATCAAGGGGTTATTTTTTAATACGTGATAAGATAAAAATACAACTTGATTGTATTCAACAATCACAAGGTGATCACATTCACTTTAATTACATAATAACATGTTATATACAAAGCATATTATTCATCAATCACGTGATTACTTGTTTGTTGTACACACCACGGTACAATCATGTCCAAACATAACTATCTAAACTATTTTATATCCTAAGTTATCTTACTAAGTCATTTACCTAGTTATAAGCCTAGGTTTTCTCACTCATCTTCATAGAATTTTAAATATGTTATTTCACAATCATATCCAATCAATCCATATATATATATATATATATATATATATATATAGTTAAATATAATTCATTGTGATTTGATATGATTAGATATCATATGATTAGATTTGATTTAGAATATTTTGGGCCTTTTATGTTTTGGGCTAGTGTAAACCTAAAACTATAAATAGGGTGCCTTGCTTTGTATTCTACACAACAACAGAACAGATTTCACAGTTGCAGTTAGCAAGTGAAAGTTCAATAAGAAATCCCACAGTTGTGGGTAACACATTCTCTCCAAATATTTCTTCTCTCATTCTTTTCTTTCTTGTTTGTTCTTCTTTTCTTTTGTTGTTCTTGATAATTACTTGTTATTACCATCATTATCATATTGTGGGTTTGTTCGTCAATCTTGAGATCAAGGTTGAAGGGAATTCTTCATAGGGTGTGAGGTGAATTTCCAACATCTGGTATCTAGAGCTCCGGTTGAGAGATTCAAGGAAGGAAAATAGTGATGGCGATGAACTATCCGAACGGCAACTTTCTGGCGACCCTGCCAATTCTCAAGAAAGACAATTATGAGAATTGGTGCAAGCAGATTAAGGTGATTTTCTGTTATCAATATCTTTGGGATCTTGTGAAGGATGGAGTAACATCGCTTGGGGAGAACGCAACGGAGGGGGAAAAGGCTGCGCACAAAGAATTGAAGAAGAAGGATTATAAAGCACTCTTTATAATTCATCAGTGTGTCGATCCTGATAACTTTGAAAAGGTTAGTGATGTTGATTCAGCAAAAGAAGCATGGGAAATTCTTGAAAAGTCGTTTGGAGGCGCAGAGAAGGTGAAAGAGGTGAGGTTACAAACTCACAAGAGAACCTATGAGTTGCTTCAGATGGAAGACAACGAAAGCATTACAGATTTCTTCACCAGAGTTACAAAGTTGGTGAATCAAATCAAAGTTTGTGGAGAAGCGCTGACGACGAAAGCAGTTGTCTCAAAGATTTTGAGGTCGCTGGCTCCAAAATTCGACCACGTGGTAGTTGCCATAAAAGAGTCGAAAAATCTATCAGTGTTGATGAAGGAAGAGCTTCAAGGGACTCTTGAGTCTCATGAACAGAGGATGGTTGAGAGAGCTGCAGGAAAGTCGAAAGATATGGCTTTGCAGGCGCAGTCAGAAAAGGAAATAAAAGGCAA